TACAATATAGAGTTGAAAATTTTACTCTAAATCCTCCCTGACAATAACAGAAAACCTAAACTGAGCACTGGATAGTATTAATAACAACTTCCTTTGGTATGCTCCTCCAAACTCCCATAATACTTTGTGTTATGAACTCTAAGCACTTTCCATAATTATTGTATTACTTTTAGAAATCCTTTACTAAGCCCACTTTACAAATCTGGACACGAAGGCTGAGACTAGTTAAGAAATTTTCCTATATTACAGAGCTAAGAATAACCAGAAACAAAATTCATAATCCAACCCTGTTGAACGCTTCTGAATCTCTTCTTGTGCTTACAGCTACCCTGCATCACATACCTTTTTGTGCTAATCTTTTTGCTCTATACTACACAAGTTTATCTTCTCATCTTTGTATATTCCAAATCCAGTGAATTTTAACTTTTATCTTTCCTTACTACTCAAGGTGAAATATATTCCCAGCCCAAACTTTCCACCAGTGGTGCCTTACTCAGGCCATCACCAATAATACAATGATCCCTATATGTATGTCTTCCTCTCTATGCCTATTTAAGAATCCCTATCCAAATGGTCTGATTTAGAACAGAAACTACTGTTAGACAACTATTAGCACCTATATTAGTTCAGCAAAAATAATTGAACCACTTTGGTTGCTTAATAAATGAAGACTAAAGTCCAGATACCATATGCATTAGAAACTGAAGGTCTTAACCTGATCAAACAAAGAAAAATGCAGAATAAGCTCCTAAAAAATAAACAAGTGAGCAATTATAACTATTTAATCAATAAGTATTCACTGATCTGTGTGCTAGAAGTTATAAAAATTATAGAAGACTACATACGCATAAAGTCTATCTCCAAGAATTATATATAAAGTGGGGGGGGGGGAACTAAAGAAAATAAGCAAGTTAAAATAAGTGCTGAGGAATTAAAGGATATAAAGATTAAAGTTGATTAATAAAATGGCTTAAGTATCACTAAATCTCGAAAATCAACAAACCAGGTGAGTATGGCAGGGAAAGATAATGGTTAGTAACAACTCAAATCCATATAGACCAGAGATGGTTGTAGAGGTATGGTTTAATGTCTTATTTTTTCCTAATCCTAGTTGGTCACTTATTCAGCACTATATATGTTGAACTCCACTTAGCAAGATTGCACATATTCTTTATACAAAATTAATTCAGTCGCACCACATGAAAGACAACATATCTAACTTAGTAACCTTGTTTATAACCTTCTTAAATTGTTCTCCCATAATACTACCAGCTAATGAATGGCATCAGAACTATTTGTATAAAAGTACCTATCATATATTTACATATTACAATGAAATCTCAATTTTCACAAAATATATTTTTAGAAACTGCAGTAAAACAATAGGCTTGCTCCTCCATGAAGCCAATCACCAATCAAGAGTCTCATTAGCATTTAGGCATATTTGCAGCAAATGAAAATAAAATATGTTTCTGTGTACTTTTTCTGTTGTGGTTATAATGCCTGCCTTTATTGAAATTACCTTCCCTCACCTTCCATGTATAACTGGGACTAATTTCTACTGGAGACTTTAATTGTCCTTGAATTCCCAAAGCACTCTCTTAATTCGGGCCCTCATATTTCGCTAGTACTACTACAAAACAACTATCTGATTTCCTTTGTCTTTCCCTCACAATCCTCAATCCACCTTCTATACTGCCTACACCTTTCCCCTGAAAACTTTCTAAGTCAAATATGATCTTGTGAGTACCCATTAAACAGTGCAATACTTCCTCAACCGCACCTCCTTCTTAGTTGTGAAATGTACACTGAGATCTTAAGAGGTCGGAGAAATGCTATACTTAAAGTATTTGGTTTAATTTAGCTTCGATTCGCAAAGTATAGATCAAAAATTGAAGAAAAATCTATTAAGATTTTCAGCGTGCTCAAGGATTATCCTATCAGACAGCATGGACTTCAGAAGTGGTTTCCAAACTGTGACATACATTAGAATCTTCTGTCAAGCTTGCTAAAGATAGACATGGCCAAGCTTCACCTCAGACCCAGTGATTCTGAATATTATCTAGGAATTGGGCCTAGATACATGCATTTCTCATAATCTCCACAATGATTCCAATGCATACCTAAATCTGAGAGCCCAAGAAGAAGCCCTCCTTGCTCCCTAACAAACTTCTAATTTTTCAAGCTGTTTCATATCTCTCATCAACCTGGGGAGTACCTGTTAATATAAATATTCAGTTATCATCCATTCTAAAAGGCTTTTACTCATCCTCTCTCCCACCATTCTCTCTTTCAATCCTCTAAACCTTCATAAAAATAGTTTCCATATATTTACACAGTCTTAATCCACACAACTACCCCATGAGATAGCATCCTTGTTTGACAGATGAGAAAACCAAATCTATGATAGGAAGCTTAAGAAACCTGTCCAAAGTGACCCCCAGTTTGAACCCACGTTTGCTGAATACAAAGCCAAGGCATTTTCTATTGTAACAAGTAGCGTCTTACGTATCACTCTGAAGCACTGACTTATTTTTCTGTTTACACGTTTCCTTTTTTAGACCTAGTAAGCTCCCTGAAGACAATTTTCAGCCCTTCCAGATTTTGACCTCAATATTTAGTCAATAAATGTTTGTTGAATGAAAGAAAAAATGAAGCTCCTCCAAAGCTCTGACTATAATTACTTCTGTTTTAGTTCCTGAATTCTTGGATAGAGCTTTGGGTATACTTCTGTCTAACACATTTGGTCTGACCTGTAAACTTCATTGCTGGATTAATTATGAGACAATATATTTCAGCAATGTTTTAAACAACAATAACAAGAAAAAACAAACAAAAAACTGCACAATCAGCAAAGGGAGGAAAAGATTATTTTAAAAATTAAAATATCACTTTTACTTTGCTCTCTATTAACTAGAGACTTCAAATTTTAAAATTAGTATTTGCAATGACTTCATCCCACAAGAGTAGGCAACGGAAACAGTGTGGTTTTAAATGACAGAAATTCAAAAGGTAAAGTTGATTAATAAAAGATGGCATGAAGAAATTAAGCACTGAATACAGACAGTCTATTCAACAATCCACTTATGCTATGCAACGTGCAACACCATTTTTCTCTATCACAGAATTTTTCCCATCTGTCTTTTTTGAAACCAGTAAAGCTATAGGTAAGCACAGGAACAATTAATATACTTGTGTATAAATGTAATGTCCTTCCTGCCTAACGTGTCTGGTATTTAGAACACAGTAAATCTACTTCCTTTTTGATACAGATTACCTAGCTAATATAGTAAACCAGCAATCGAACTTTTTTCCATTGGAGGTAACTACCATTCAAAGTGCTGGAGATTTTCCTAAATTGAACATTCCCAAACATTAGTGGCGCTTTAAGAATCTAGTATTTTAATTGTATTAGTTTTTGGTGAAAAAGGCAAAGTGGTTATTCCTTTAACACCACTTTTAGAAATAAATCAGTAACAAGAAAAAAAAAATACCCTTCTAAACCAACATGACATAGTGGAAAGTACAACGGGAAGGGACTAGGCATGAGGAGTCCTGGTATTCTAGTTCTGGTTACATTATTAAATTGCTGTATGACTTGGGCTCACTGTCTCAGCTTTCTCATTTGTTGAAAAAAAGCGTGTGTGGATGGGGAGGAGCTTGCTTATCTTTAAAGTTGTTACCCCAAATTCTTAGAGCCATTATTCTTGTTTCATTCTTCTAATCAGTAAACTAAATGTTCCCTAAGGTCTAAATTCTGAAATATGAAACGAATCTGAAATTGAATGGAACGATTCAATCTCCAACCGGACAGCACAAGATACAAAGGGTGGACTCCTATGAAGTTAACAATTAATCTGAGAACTTTCCAGAAATTCTCTAATCCTAACTTCTTAAAGCAGCAGATGAAATCTGGTTTGGCATTCCTAACATTACTTTAAAAAGTTATAAAATGGTATTGCTCTGTTGAAATTTCCGCGTTTTCTGGGTTCCAGTGGCACATACTATGCAGGTGCTAGCAAGCAAAGTGGAAAGAGACCCAGCCAGTATTTCAACAAACCACACTTCAACCCAGTCACCGCAGTATGATCCCGAAAAGGCCTACACCACAAAGCAGAACCTCCCCACCCCCAGAAGTGCCAGCAGCCAATGTAATGAATGCTTCCGTCAACAACACACATTCCCCTTCCCACAGCAGAACTGCTCGCTCCCAACCGGCCATCTGGGGTTGGAATTGGCCGCACAGCACCAAACTAAGAATCATTCTCGGCCCCAAAAGCCAAGAACTACCAGAGACTGAGGTTTCCCTGCGCATGGCTGCGGGGAGAGCGGCACCCGCTCCCATCAATGGGGGAAAAAATCAGTGGGAAGGAGTAGAAACCAGGCCTAGGCAAGGTTGCTGGAGAAATAAATCTTGTTTCTCTTCAACGAGGAGCAGTAACATTTCTTGCCCTCTCTCTAATCCGAAGAGAGTCCAAGATCTTGTACTCGACTTCATTCCCTCCTGGAATCTTAATGCGAGATTAAAAACCACCTTCCTTCCGCGATCTATCCACTCCTCAAACCTGGCATTGTTAAGGAAGGTACCCCCAGATCAAGCAGTAGGAGGTGAAGTGAGAGCTAGAACAAGGGCCCAGCTTTTGGGACCAAGCGGCTCGTGCAAAAAAATCCCCTTGTGGCCGGAGAGTAAAGTTTTAACCAGTAGCACGAGCGCGGACCGAGGCTCGGCCAGGCTGGAGGACAGGCCTGAGGAGGTGACACTCCCTTGTTCTCCAGCAGCTCGGGAAGGCGGCGCCCGACCGCCCCGGCTCGCACCCAGGGAGCAGGGCTAGGGCGCCAGCGCCCGGCCCGGGTTGGGGCCGAGGCCGGCGGGAGGCCTGGCCGACAGCGGGACCCTACCCACTCAGCTCCCGCCTCCTTCCCCACTCCCACTTCCCGGCCCCCAAGCCCGGGCCCGTGAAGTAACGTCAGGGGTGGCGACGCGGGTCTTGGCTACTGACCACACATTTTTTGCCGAGGAAAGTGAAGAGGGACTCATTCTCCTGCGGAGTGAGCAGCAAGGACCCCACGTTGGTGACCCTCCGCGGCGGTGGCGGCTGCTGCTGGACGGAGCTCATGGTTTCGCCGGCGGGGCTGGGAGTCCAGGGCCGTCTCCTCCGGCGAGTGGACTAGAGCTCGTTCCCCCTCTCGGTGACAGGGTCTGGGAGGAGCGGAGTCAGAGGCGCTGCATCTCGCAGCTCCTCCGGCGCGGGGAGGAGGAGGAGGAGGTCGAGGGACGCAGGCGCTGACAGCGAGCCACCTTCGGGCCGCGCTGAGAGAAGGGTGCTCCCAGCTCCCGCCGGGTCAGGCTAGGGCCGGATGGTCGTTGTCCTCGCACTCCGGCGACTGCGCTAAACTCCCAACTCCTCCCCCAACCTTCCCGCAGCAGCGGCGGCGGCCGCACAATCCAACATGGCAGCAGGGGCGGGCGAGACCACAGGACGGAGGGCGCGGGGGAGCGCGCCGGAAACGCGCGGCCGGGGCCCGGGAGGATCCCCCCACTCAGCAGCGGGTCTCGCCGCGCCGGCCCGAGGCCACGCCCCCTTCCGGCCGAGGCGGGGACCGCGCGGAGCTAAGTGGGATCCCGGTTGTATCCGGGCGCGGGCTTCCGACTTCGTTCTCTGGCCTCTGGCGTCTCTGGCTGGTCGGTTGGGTACCCAGACCCAGCCACTACTGCTTGAAGAATGTATGGAGACTTGTCGCCGCCGCTGCGCCGCCAGCCTTCCTTGGCCGGACGCACACCTTTACGAAGCGTCTGTGAAGACCCAGGGCCCCTCCTTGGAATAGCTCTTATTTCTCAGGCGCTCCGCGGGTTAGAGAGGCCTGCAATCTGAAGGCTGAAACCTGGAAAGATGCGCTCTGCCCTGTGCCGGCTTCGATAGGAGCCGCGGGTGCCTGGGATTTTCTCAAACTTTGTCCCAAACTTCAGCTGTGGGAGTGGAAGAACAGGCCTCTCCCATAATTGTGAAAGAGATCTCCCTGATGGATGTAACGAAAACAAATGCACTTGACTTCCACTGCCTGCCTGGCGTGTCACGTGGGTTCAATGTATGTGTCACATTTAAATTCAAAGTATTTTCTTCTAAGGGCTCTGGACACTTTTTTCTCCCTATATCGTGAATTGGAACATATCCCAGCATATTACAAGTTATCTAAGATAACTCCCTTTGTTCTATAAGTTAAATAGTAAACGGTTGAAATGAAATTTTGTAATATAGAGATGATGCAGACGGCAGTGAATTATCAAATATGCATCTCACTGTTCTCCACGTTAAACATATTAAGACTTGTTGCATAAATTCATGTCTGCTAATTGCTAAATTTCAATTAAAAAGTATACGTTAAACTTAAGACATCTGTAACAATTACACTGTGGTAAAATTGTTGGATGTTAAACATCTCTGATAGCTCCCAATAGAAATCTCTAATGTACTTACCAGCCTGATAAGCCATTATCAATGCACTTCGAAAATACTATAAAATGTTAAAATTAAAGCTGCCCTTAATGAAATTGGCTGAACAGGAATAAATTTACAAAGGAAAATGAGAGTGGATAGCCTTGAGAGTTACCACATAAAAGATGGAGATTTCAAAGTTAAACTTGATTAATAATATTAGGGTAAAAAGTGAATTAAAAAAGCAACAGGACTATTTATAAAGTAAGTAGGTTTGGAAAGCAGTAGTAGAAATATAAGCCTGCCGTTGCCTCTGAATTACAGATCTAACAAACCTAGAAGTTAAATCACTTTGTCTTTTACCAAAAATGCAACTCCTGTAAGTTGAAAGCACAGTTACAACAGAAAGCATTACAAATTCTTGAGAAATAATAAAAATTACAGCTCTTCTTTTCAAACCTTTGAATAAGTATAGTACCAGAAGTATAAGATTTAAATAGGCCCAAATTTTAGTTCTTGTTGTGAGTCTTACAACCTTATGGACTTTGGACAAGTTACTTCTCTGCGTCTCAGTTTCCTCATCTGTAAAATGAAAATAATTTGTGTCATACAGGTACAGTCTAAATGAGGGTAATTACACCTAGTTCAAAGTTGTGAAATACAAAATTACAACTAGATAGGAGGTATAAGTTCTAGTGTTTTGTAGCACTGTAGGATGACTACAGTTAACAATACTGTATAGTTTCAAATAGCTAGAAGGATATTGAATGTTTCCAAAACAAAGACATAAGTTTTTGAGGTGATGGATATGCTAATTACCCTGAGCTAATCACTATATGTTTTATGTGTTGCAACATCACTATGTACCCCCATAAATATGTACAATTATTGTGTCTATTAAATTTTTTTAAAACTAAAATATTATATTTTTTAAAAGATATCACTTGTAAAGGACCTGATACGTAGTGGTCACTTAAGTATTAGTTGTCTGCCACTGACAGTCCTTGCCTATGATCTGTTCTGCATTCCCTAAGCTAAGGAATCAAGACTTGATATATGTATTCTTACCTTTGTTCTAAGTCTGCTATTGAAAAAATGTCCTTCAAATTTACAATTGTACATAATTTTTCAAAAATACAGTGGAGAAATTGATAGCAGAATTTCTGATTAGGCCACATATTATGCCAAATAGGCTACATATATTCCAGTGTGCCAAAATAAAACTTTTTAAAACTGTAAATCTAGAGATAGAATTCTATTAGCTTCTAATTAATAAAAACTGAAGAACAGCAAATTTTATGCTAGAAATATCAGCTTTTAGAACTGTAGACCACCAAACTATTTTGAAGATAGGAAAGAGTAGTGGGAGAGGGCTGTGAAAAAAAAAAAAGCCATGAGATGATAGGTAAATGGACGGTAACTGCATTGAAGAATCTTACCTCATTCTGAGAATTATTGAATTCCAATCATTTCAAAACCTCTTACTAGCGTAGACTATTGTTTTATTGATTTTCTTTAAGGAAATTTTATGACTTATCTAAATGTAATTTTTTTTTTTTAACTATTTGCCCTTATTCTGTTTTCTTTAGACTTGGAGATGGAAAATTATGACCACAGTGACTTTTTTCCTCAGGTCCAACCTTTAATTTTTCTCCAAATTTTTAATATAGTACTTTGTCCACAAAATTGCAATTTAAGTTCTTGTCTTGTACCCTTCATTGTTATTTTTGTTTTTCTCTGGGCTTTTTCTGACTCTTTGATGTTCTTAAAATGTGGAAAATGTAAGCATGAACATTTCACTGGAAATATGACTTCCTTACTCATTTGAGCCTGTGAACAAACAATATTTGGGGATTCCCCTCTTACCATATATAAAGAATTCTATTTTTTTTCATACTCATCCTGAGACCAAGCAGTACTCGCTGTTTTTGTTTCAAAAGTTTTAGAAAGTTCTTTCTTTCTTTCTTGATAGCATATCCTCTATTTGGCAGAACACAAGACATCTTTTCTCTGTGTTTTCTTTGGCAAGTTAATTCCTTATCTCAAATTCTTCTTACCCAGTTTGAGAGACTGGATTTTATCCAGGACATAAGCATTGTTTCCCTTCAACAGAGTATCTTGAAGTTTGTAAGCTCAGTTAAGAAGACTACAGATTTTATCATAATATATATATGTTGATATATAAAATGCATATGCTAGAAATACCAGCTTTTAGAACTTGTAGACCACCAAACTATTTTGAAGACAGGAAACAGGACTGGGAGAGGGCTGTGAAAAAAAGCTTTATTAAGGTATATATGAATATAACCCAAAAAAGGCAATTCTTACATTTAATTTCTTCCATTTGACTTTCTTTACCTCAGCTAGAATCTATGCTAGTACTTTGTTTTCTTCTTTCTTTCTTTGGTAGGATCTTTTAAGGTAAAGCCCTCATTGTAACAGAAAACATTAGGGTAGCTTATTATGGAAATGAGGCCATATTTTCAGATACATTCCTGCTGTTATCCTTATGGGTACATTGCAAGCTTTTCTTGTTCTGGTTCTTTGTTATCCATTTTTCTTCTTTACAGATGTCATTGTTTATGTACTGTTACAAGTCCTCTGAAACACCCTATTCCCCTTGCTAATGTTAATAATTTAAAATATAGTGACATCCCTTACTGTGGGGAAATGTAAAGGTGGTTGAATGCACACAAGGGCATTCAGCAGCTATTGTAGCCATAATTGCTGCTTGGCTGTGGTAGGACTGATTTATAGAGACAGAACAACAGCAAATCTGAATACAGCAAATCTGGATTTGCAGAAAAAGTCCAGGGGCAATGAGTGCTACTTCTCCCATGCAACCTCCACAAATGTCATGTGTTTAAAATGTTCATCTTGTAAAATATCTCTGCACAGTGTTATGTAAATGTTGCATATAGCAATGCTGACAAGAATTTGTTCTAGTACATGTTATCCCAAGTTAAATGTTTTCTTTTGCATCAACTAAAATCCGAAAAGTAAGCTAGCACACCATTTTTTTCTGCCTCTCTTTTTAAAATCCATTTTAACTACAAACCTCTTTGGGACTTTCGTTTTTAGGAATAAATAGTTTATTTACAAATCATTGTGATTTATTATTGAAGCTGTTGGAAAACTGGACTCTTACTTATGCTACAGAATTACCAGTGATGGTTACTATCATTATATAGCCTAGTCTCCAGATGCCTAGTACTCACCTGTAATCAAGAAATGGTTTGAAGAGCTAAGTATGTCATAGTTCCCTGCATGCTGCTTACTGGTTTTCTGGCTGCTGGCCTTTAATGTTAATGAATATTCAGTGGCTTATTATTCTAAATGAGAGAGGAAAAACATTGGCTTCTTTATTGTAATATGCTTAAGGTCAGTCTACATTATAGATGAGTAGGCAAATTGGATACTTGGGATAATTTGAAGATGCCACATGTCCCCATTACCCCATTGAAATTATTGGGGTCAAGGATATGGTCTCTGCTACCACATAATGTTTTTAAAATTAATTTTTATTTTTAAACAAATGATAAATTCACATAATTTAAAAAATCAAATTGTGTATAAAACTTTTAATAACATAAAACAGAAGTTACCTTCTTGTACCACTTTCACTTTGTTGGATTTTCCCCGCTCAGTAGTTTTCTTAAATTATATTTTTTTCATTTCTTCTATGTTAACAACTATAAAGTCCTTTCTCATCTTATTTTCCACATAATCAAGTGTATCAGAAATCTATTAGATGCATTAATTTTAATGAGATCTGTCTTCCAAAGTCATCCATTATCCCATATTAATCTGGACTGTTGCTACATGGCTATTGTCTGGAATTGAGTTACTATCCTGGGATTTCCCTTCATCTTTCCGTATTAGACCCTCTGTTTCTTGGAACCTATGTCATTTATCTTGATATACTCCCTTGTTTTGGTAGTGTACATTCTTTAGTGGCTTCCTTAGAAAAAGTGCATAAATGGTAAAATTTTGAGACCTTGCATATGTGATAGTTTTATTCTAGTCTCACCCTTGGTTGATTAGTTTAACAGGGTAGAAAATTTCAGGTTGAATATTAGTTTTCTTCAGAATTTGAAGGTGTTATTTCATTGATTTTGAATTTTCAACATTGCTGTTGATATCTGATGTTATTCTGATTCTAATCTTTTGTATATCACTCTTTATGACCTCTAAAAGTTTTTAGAATCTTCTGTTTGTTCATGGAATTCTGAAAGTTGATGATGTACAACAGTGGAATACTTTTACATTTATTGTACTGGGTATTCCAAAGGCCTTTTTATCCAAAAACTCTTGTCTTTTAGTATAGGAAGCTTTTCTTTTGTTATTTTCATATTTTTCTTCCCTTTAATATTCTTCTTCTTCTGGAATGCCTGTTGGACAAATGTCAGATTTCCTGACTCATTCTATACAATCAGAAACTACACCCAAGTTTCACTGTGGAACTACCCCAGTGAGCCCTTGACTGTTGTCATCTCTGGGCAGAGATACCATAAATTCACTGCTAACATTGGGAATTGGAAATTAGAATCTCTTCTGAGATTCTAAAGCGAGATGTTTCTGCCGCCACCCTATGTCACATGCTCCTTCACTTTATGGGTTTTTCGAATCACAGTTGCCCATGGGTGTGTCTGATTAGGGAAAGGTCACATACCTATATCCTACCTGCAAAAGAGTTGGAGATTTCAGGCTAAATGTTAAGGGTCTGAGAGTCATAAGGTCAGGAATTCCATGAACGCAGAAAAGGTATTCAAAAGGTACTCCGCAGCTAGTGAATTTAAATAGAGACAGTTGGAACTTCAGGACACTGGATGACTGGAGAGGGTCTTTTTAAAGAAAAAGCAATAATATGAAAGATTAATGCTTTCCAGTATTATCAAGATGATAGCATTTTTGTGTACTGAATTACATGCATGTTACATATATAATAAAATTGTAAAATTCTGTATCTAGGAAGTAAGCAGTCTTTATTTTTGCCTCCATACAGTCTTTAATAAGAACTTTTATTCCCCCACGTTAACTAGGTTATTTGTCCTTGGAAAGTTGGTAATGGTAGAATGGGCTAGTATTATATGTTTATATATTTAGATATCATTTATAGATATCATTTATCTATAAATAGCTATTTGGCTGATTCATTAAAGAAAATTGAAGTATAAGTCATTTTGGTATAATAAATTATCAAATCTATTGTATATACAGTCAGTGATATACAGGCTTTTCATTTGTAAAATATAATTACTTTTTAGATGTTTGTCTCCTACATTAGCCTCAAGGCTCTCTAAGAGCTGGTACCATGTCTTGTTCATCTTTATATCTTTTTACTCTTAACATTGAACTTATACATCATTCAATGTATATTTGTAGATCAAACCACCACCTTTGATTCAAATAAAAATATATCAGTTTTTTATCAGGTACAAAGATAGTTACACAGGATCTGAGATCAAATAAAGAGAAACTACAGGCTGGGCATGGTGGCTCACACCTGTAATCCCAGCACTTTGGGAGGCCAAGGCGGGTAGATCATGAGGTCAGGAGTCCGAGACCAGCCTGGCCAATATGGTGAGACCCCCCCCATCTCTACTAAAAAAAAAAATTAGCTGGGTGTGGTGGTGCACACCTGTAGTCCCAGCTACTTGGGAGGCTGAGGCAGAAGAATTGCTTGAACCCAGGAGGTGGAGGTTACAGTGAGCCAAGATGGTGCCACTGCACTTCAGCCTGGGCGACAGGGCAAGACTCTGTCTCAAAAAAAAAAAAAAAAAAAAAAAAAAAAAAAAAAAAAAAAAGAGAAACTACAGTCTTGTCCAAACTTTTCCACACAGTACTAAGCATGTGGTATTCTGAGAGCACCTGGAAAGACAACACAATACATAAGAAACTGCACACAACTTAATGGGAGCAGAAGCAGGGCTTGTGACAACAGCAATAGAAAGGAATAACCTTTACTTGAGATTACCTGGCAACCTAATTCAAGTCCAGAGGATAAAGTGATTTTTTTTTTTCCTGAGTGAGCTCAGGTGTCCAATCTGAGAAAAGAAAGGTGTTATATTTTAGGGATTTGGGGGAATAATAGTTTTTAGCATGATGTGATTTCAAAAACAGTAAGACAAGGCTTGACATGAGCTTAGAAAGCAACTCTGGAAGCATATGGAAACAAATTCAGTATCCAGGAGCATTGGAAACTGAAGCGAAAAAAACAAAGACAAAAAGTAGGCTGGCATCCCAATGGACTGGGGGAGACTGGCCAGCAGTTCAGAAAGTGTGGTTTCCCCCCTAGCAGCATTAGGATCATTTGGGAAAGTGTTAGAAATGCACATTTTCAGGCCCCACTCTTGACCCACTGAACCCAAAACTCTGGGGATAGGACTCCTCAGTCTATGTTTTAACAAGCCCTCGTGGTGATTCCGATAAGCAGACCTTCAAGATGACATCCATGGGATGAAATTTATCACCACCACCAGCCACCTTCCACCCTTTCCCAAGCATATAAGGCTTATAGCATTACACAAACTACGTTTGAATCATATTCCTTTTGGAGGATGTAACTTGTAATGAACCACTGGGATTTATTCTTGTCAGTTTAAGACTTAGATAGGGTAGAGTCTGTAGGTGGAATGACTTCATTGTTCACACCTGGCAAAACCACTGCAAGGGCAAGCAGGTATTATTAGCTATAGCTTTTCTAATCTGAGTTTTGATAGTAACTAGCCATGTAATCTTAGTAAAATCACTCAACCTCAGCATGCTTCTTTTTACTCATTTGTAAAATGAAAGGAATGACAATGATTGCTAAGGTCCTTTTCAGCTCAAAATTATATGATCAATCCCATGTTTTTTGGATTAAAAAAAATCCTGCATTTTAAAAAGCAACGGGTAAAAGGCAGTGCATAAGGGAATATAAACAGTTTTGGTGGTAGGAAAATGAATATATAAGCCTTATCATAAGCCTGACTCTGTTGAAAGAATACAATCCCCTGAACATAAAAATCCTACTTTTAATTACCTCAGAGCAGGAAGGAAGGTAATTGGTGACTGTGGTTTCATGGAATTATTAATCTAATATTTTCATTTATATTCAAAACTAGATAATACTTGATAGTTGTCACATCAGTTATGATTTTCAATTCCCCATGCCTGGAAGTTAGTAGTACTCATTGATTTTTTTGTTTTGTTTTTTAATAGAGGAGGAAAAACATTGAATATGCAAACAACTCAATGGTAACGTTAGAATAAGTTCCTCATACCTAGTTTAGGAGTCATTCAGCTCAATATCTTTACTTAGAATCGCTTTAAAAATTAAATTACATATTTGCTTTCTTGCATTCCATTTTTCCTCCTTTTAGGAAGATATAGTAGAATATTGCCACTTTTCTTTCACTTTGATCCTCTTCATAATGAAACTATTGTGTGTTTATGATATGTTCTGTTGGACTGGGGCTTTGAACTGATGAAACAGGAAAGCCATAACAAGCACCAGGGCTGACTTGGTATGTTGACTCAGTTCCCACATAATGATGGCATATATATGCATGCACATTATAATGTTGTGACACACAGAAGAAAAATGTGTTACCCTGTCTCAATTTCCTGTTTTAACGCAAGTCCATACAACATCCCAATCTTTCTCAGGCTCTCCAAGCACCCCTGACTTCACTGTTTCGTAAGGGACAATTCACAGACTACTTCCCCGCAGCCTGAACTTACCTAGAGATACTTCTTTCACTCTCAGTTCCATTCAGAGATAGCAGCATTGTGGTCGTTCGGTAACTTGATTGAAACAAGGCACTCAACTGTGACTTATTGTCATAATCATCCAAAGAGGCCCACCAAGCATTGTTCTTGCTGGAAAGGCACAAAAGGAATAGAAACATGCCCTTCATTTGGAAGGACATATTTTTATATGCCTCAGAACGACGGACGCCCAGAAACATCTCTGAGGTATGAGGCTCCTATATTTGATGGTATTTATATCATCCAGCATTCATTTATGTGACCAAGGACCTAGTGTACTTGCAACTTCCTGCTGTGCAGGTCATTTCAGTATGATATTATTTTGCACAATGAACTAGCCTGATATCAGGTGGAATAGAAAGATGGCCTAGGATAACTGACCTCTGCTTAAAAAATGAGCTGACCTGTGAGGGTCACAATATCCTTTCCATAAATTCCCTTTTGCTTTAGCTAACCTGGGTCAGATTCTGTTATTTACAGAAACTCTAGGTGATTATAAACTAGAAACCTTAGGTATTCTAAAATTTTACCATAAATTCCCTTTTGCTTTAGCTAACCTGGGTCAGATTCTGTTATTTACAGAAACTCTAGGTGATTCTAAACTAGAAACCCTAGGTATTCTAAAATTTTACCATGAACGTGGTTGCAGGCAACAGATATTTCAGAAAACTGAGTCATTTGGCATTGTTTACCTGGCTGTAATGAGGCAAGAGGTGGTGAAACTCTCATTCATATTCCAAGATGGGAAACTAGCATCAGACAACAGAGAATTACATTACCGCCTCTGGTTATTAGGATCTAGAAACTTCTGAGGTTCTAGAAAGCTTTAGGGCTGGGATCAGCAAACTATACTCCACCTGTAGTGTTGCCTGTTTTTGTAAATAAATCTTTTTGGGGGACACAGCCATGCTCATTCTTTTAGTATTGTCTATGACTGCTTTCATACAACACAGCAGAGTTGAGTAGTTATTCCAGAAACCTTATGACCTGTAAAGCCTCAAATATTTATTATCTGGCTATCCACAGAAAAAGTTTGCCAACACTTGCTTTAAGCAACTTCATAGTTTTTTGCCATCAGATAATACAAGCGTGAGGAATTCAAGCATTGTGAGATAGCATTAGATAAATTAACCAGTAAGAATCAATTGTTGCCTCTGAGGATAGCCTGCTACAGGGATATTTTATGATAATTCTGAAAAAAAATCTATCTCTGATCATTATAGGACCGAGATAGCAAAAGTGAAACTTATGATTTGATCCAGGGTTGCTAAACTAATGATTTATGAATTAAAGTATCTTAAATACTGTGCAATGAGATAGGAGACGACCATGAAAATAATTTATAAGACATCCAGTCTATCTTTGTGTAAATTTCTTATAAGAATCATTAAACTTAGGATGTTACTTTAAAAAAAAAAAAAGACAACTATTCAAGTGTGCCAGTCTTTCCAGGGACAACAAATCACTGTTAGTAGATATTTTAGGAAAAAAAAAAAAAAAGGAAGCACACATTTGCTATATCCCTGAACCACTTTTCAAAAGAAACTTACATTCTCCAAAGCATATTTTGAAAACAGTTATTTGGAATCTTGTCCATCATTATATGACTTTAAAGTTCAAAATACTAAAATATGTTTCCTATAAAAACTTTTATTTCTAAACTTAAAAACAATCTTTTAACCTGTTTAAAATTTTTCAAAGTAAAAATGTTTTGGTATCTTTTCATTTGATGAAAATATGTAAATGAAATACTTCTCAGTTAGTTTGCAAGAAAATTACTATCAAAATTTTAACAGATGAATACAACTGAAAAACATAAAATTATGCTTGAGTAAGGAAAACTCATGTGTACTTCTCTTAGGCAGATGTATCTTCATGTTTTTTTGCAAAGTGTCCTTTTCAGTTGTGACTACAAAATATAGTATAGACAAAACGCACTACTAAAATATAGTATAGCAAAACCTTTGGATCACATGTCAAAAAGCGTTAAGCCAAATTTTCAAAAATTATGGAGCATATTCAATGACATTGCATGCATTAAAAACTATTTTCTTAATATTTTAGGGAAAGCAAATAATTGTCTTGTTTTGTTTTACTATTTATTGACCTTTTTACAGAAACTTCTTTTGGCATCACTGATGTTCTTTATGGTTTTCTGTTTTCTATTTCTTTGATCTGTGATAATTAAATATGATGCTAGATGCCATTTATTAAATTGAGGAAGTTCTTTTCTGTCCCAGTTTGCTGAGAGTTTTTCCTCATAAATTTTGTCAAATGATTTTTCTGTTTCTATTAAATAAACTCACATTTTGTTTCCTACTTATTCTGTTGATACAGTGAATTACACCGATTTTTATTTTTATTATACTTTAAGTTCTGGAATACATGTGCAGAACGTGCAGGTTTGTTATGTAGGTATGCACGTGCCATGGTGGTTTGCTGCACCCATCAACCTATAATCTACATTAGGTATTTCTCCTAATGCTATCCCTCCCCTTGTCCTCCACCCCCCAACAGGCCCCGATGTGTGATGCTCCCCTCCCTGTGTCCATGTGTTCTCATTGTTCAACTCCCACTTACAAGTGAGAACATGTGGTGTTTGATTTTCTGTTCCTGGAATTACACTGATTATTAAATGTTGAAACAGTGTTGTATTCCTGAGATAAACCCCAGTTGATCATAACATATTATCCTTTTCTATATATTGCTTAATTCCATTTGTTGATAATCTATTAAGGGGTTTTGTGCCTATAAAATATTGGTCTAAGAATATAGATCTCCTCTATCAACTCTACCAGCTGAAGGACTTTTCAGCTGATGCTGATTTCCTATATTTCCAAGTAATTTCAATTCCTCCATGTCCTGATTCTAAACACTCTGTTATTTCATGGTGAGCTTCCTTATAGTGGCCACTGTTAGGATCATCATCTCCCTCAATACTAGGATCTGCCTTCTGAACCAGAACTTTCTCACGATACGCAAAGCTGCACGTGCCACCAGTTCCTGTTCTTTCCCAGTGGGGAATTGATTTTCAGTTATTTCCCAGATGCTCATACTGTTCTCTCTCCTACTGTAGTTAGCACTCTCCCAATGTGGAATTCAGTAATTCTTTGACACCCTTGAAATTCTTCAAGTGGCAATAAAGGTAACTCAAGCATCCATTAGATCTGGTATCTCTGTACTCACTGAGTAAAGCGCTTTGCTCTTCCTGAGGCCTTCTGCTTTACTGCGCTCTAAATTTCCCTGTTTCCTTTTGCTCCACCAGTGATTCTGAGTCACCTTCTCGCCTATATGCATCGTTTTGTTTTCTCCATTGGCTCTTTCTGGTCAGTGTATAAACATTTCAGTTATCTCTCAAATTAAAATAAAAACTACCTTCATTAAAACAATCAATTTAAATAAACAAATACCTTGTTACTAATCCCTATTTTTCCTCTTCACAGCCAAGCTTCTAAAAAGAGTAATCTATACCCATTGTCTACATATTTTTTCCTTTCTCTTTCACTCCTCAAGCAATGTGAGCTTGTTTCCACCCCCAATATTTTAATGACTAAAGTTGCCCATGACTTAGTAACTGCTAACCCCCTGAAAACATTGAAAGCTTTAGTTATGTGACATTTTTGTCACATAACTAAAGGCAATCGATCACTCATTCGCCTTTCTCTATGGCTCTACATGTTAAATATTAATTCAACCCAGAGTTCTATCATTTTGCCCCTTTTATTTGGCCTTGAATATAGTAGGGGTCCCCAGAAGATTTAGTGAATAGGTGAATTTTAATTTCCTAATTTGATTAATCAGAATAATATAAAGTAGCATTACCGAGCACTTTCTACATGCCCAACACCATGCTGAATGCTTTAGATACATTTCCATTTTATTTAATTCTTTTGCAGTTTATAGGCGATATTATTAACAGCATGTTTCAGATTTAGAAAACTTGTACAAGATCAATGAGAGAGCCAACTCAATTCCCGGTCTTTTGACAGTAGAGCCTATGCCCTTAACAGTGACACTATTAATGCCCATGGCTTTTATTGTCCTCTTCGTGATTCCCAAATATTTCTCCAGACCTCTCTTCTGAGGTCTGGAACCATAGCTACAACTGGTAAGTTCCTCAAAGTCACTGTGTACGAATCTGTACTCCGGAGCTTTGTTCCCAATCTTTTCTGCATTTCCTATCTTAGTGATTAATACCACCGCACTCTTTTTTCCAATTAGGAACCTCAAAAAGCACCTTGCTCTCCTATTGCTTGCATTGTTCCTGCCCTCTAATCTTCAGTCACCACCTCCCATCAATTTTACCTCCTATTAGCCCTCCACTGCCACTTTTTCTCATCTCTTCTGCCTGCGCCCTAAGTCACATCCTTCACATCTCACTTGTCTCCCTGGTTTTAATCTCACAATTCATCCAGCTCATCACTGCCAGCATGCAAGTGAGAATCTGATTATGTTACTCTCTCTCCTAAAAATTCTTCAGAGGCTCCTAATTGCTTGCAATATAAAATTTGAGTTCTTTACCATGACATGTAAGGCCCAATAATATCTCTTCCTTCCAACCCCTTCAGCCTCATCCTCTGGTAGCTCCTCCTCCCACTCCCAAACCCTTACACTTTACACTCTATCAGTACTGGTAGTTTCCTGAACAAGCCACATTTTCTCACACCTTATTCCCACTCCTTGGAATATCTTCTCTCCTGTTTCCCCAAGTTTGTCTGTCAGACAACCTTTCCATATATCTATCTCTATTTCTATCTACATATATATAAAATAAAATTTTTAATTTTTATTTATTTATTTATATATTTTTTAAACAGAGTCTCACTCCAATGCCCAGGCTGGAATGCAGTGGTGAGATCATGGCTTATGCAGCCTTGACCTCCTTGGGTTCAGGTAATGTTCTCACCTCAGCCTCCTGAGTAGCTGGAACTACAGGCACCCATCACCATGCCTGGCTAATTATTTGTAGAGATAAGATCTCACTGTTACTCAGGCTGGTCTTAAACTCCTGGGCTCAAGTGATCCTCCCACTTCAGCCTCCCAGGGCTGGGATTACAGGGGTAAGCCATCATGCCTGGCCTCCTTCAATATTTAGGTCAGGTATTTACCACCTTGAGAAGACTTATCTGACTTTCCCAGGTGAGGTGTTCCTTGTTCTTCCATGCCCACATTGGAACTTGCATTTAATCCCCTCACATATTAAAATTAACTTATTTGTACTTATCTGCTCCCTCATTTGACTCTAAGGAGATGGATCCCGAATGTTTACAAGTATATGTTCCCGTAGATGCATGTTTTTCATGAATACGAACCTCTACTGCCTACCACAGAGTCTCAGTAAGAATTAGCTGACTATGATTAAAGCATATAGTAGGGAGAAGGGAGAAAAGAAAGGAATGGAATGAGTGACGAAGGGAAGATGGTTCTGAGTTTTAAGAAACTACTCTAGACTCCTTGTAGCTCTCTATCTTTTTTTCTGCTAAATAATCTTGGATCTCCCAATGCTAAATATTTTATTTTAATCATGGCTGAGACTTCTGTTCTCACCTGTTTGGGTATAAACGCCAAAGTCATCCTCTGTAGACAGCAAAGTGCCTTGAAAATTCTCCCACCTTCATTGGCAGATCTCTTGCCAGCTGCCAGCTTCCACTCCAATTTTAGTTCCTTTTTGTAAGGGTTATTGCTGAGTTTAAAATGAAGAAACTGAGGCCAGTATAAGAAAATTAAATGCTAATTTATTCAGCTCCCGGGCGAGGTTCTGTGGTCCGGAGAAACGGGCCAGAGAAGTCGCGCTGACTTCCTGGGTCGTGGGGTTTTTGTGGCTATGGGTAACAAGCAACAGCTGGGTGCTCTGATTGGCTCCAGGGAAGCGGGATTGGGACTGAGCAGGCGCTACTGGTT